AGTTAGATATTTGGGAGTCCCATTCATAATTTGATATCTACAAGGCTTTTCTCCTGCAGATTGCCAATCTATGCTGGAGAAGATAAAAGAAGAAAACTGATACATGGGGTAATAAATTGCCGTTTTCAGGTGGATTGGAGTAGCGTATTTATCTTGCTTAGGAAAGTAGTTAAGTTGTTTGAGCAATATTATAGAAATTTCCTTCGGACAGGACAATGGAAGAAACAAGGGGTTCCTCTAGTTTCTTGTAATGAAATCTGTCTACAAAGATCTGGAGAAGGATTGGCAGTTAAACAGGCAAAATGAAATAGAACAGCAATCATAAACATCTTCAGCTTGTCTGTTGAGAACAGAAGTTGTTTTGGGCTAAGTGGGTTAAGAAAAGACTTAAAAGGAACCTGTGTTTGGCAAGTTGGAATTCCCCAAGATTGTGCCTGATCCTGAGTTCCAAATGCAAGATTTTACAGAAGTGAGATGTCCCCTCGTAAATAATCACATTCGAGTGCAAAGATGGGAGGAAACCACCCTTTTTTATGACGGGTGGTTGGAGGATGGGAGAGATTAATTGGTCAAAGTGAGGCAGCAAATGGTACTGCAGCAGTGCAGCTTGAGAGTTTTGTTGAAAGTCTACCATTGGAGAAACAGTGCAGGCTGGCATACTCTACCAAGCTTCATGAGAAGATTTCTAAAGATTGCTGGAAAAATTCAAATGGTGGAGGTATCACAGCAAGAAGATAAGGCTCTCTGGTATGTTTGTAAAGCAGAGATGAATTCTCTATTAACCAGTGTTATGAGTTGCTTTGTGTTAAGAAAAGGAGGTGTCCTTACTCAAATGCTATCTGGTCTAGAGCTCTATTGCTTAGACAGAGTAACCTTTTTGTGATAGTGCTGCAGGATGTATTACACTTGTTTTTCAAGTGTAGTTTTACTAAGTCTATTTGGAAGGGAATCCTAATAAGCTTAATTTATGCAGAATGCTTCTCCTGAGCATGTGAATTGGAGATGGATTCTGAAAGCTTGTAAGGGTAGGAGTAGCAGTCTTAAGGTCTAGAGGTGCACCTTTTCTGCTGCAGTTTGCTTCATTTGGAGAGAAAGGAGCAGTAGAGTTTTTACAGATGAGAAAAAACGATGGTTCAAGTTTGATTGGGATTGTAATTAGTAGATAGTTGCAAATCAGTTTATGTTTTATAAATAAATAGATTGTTTTTCCCCAAGATGCTTGGAAGTAACTTGTAAATACCCCCATTTAAAGGGTCATTTGGGAATGGAAAATTGCCTATTTACAAAAGAAAGAGAAAAAAGAAAAAAAGTGATCCGAACAAAAAGGGAAAACAAATAATTCACTTACATCTTGTATTTGCGTAAAGCTTCATTTTTTTTTGCCACATAGAGATCACTGTCTTTAGGTAAATTACTGAGAGGATTGCCTGGATGACATTGGACAAAGTTACATTTTGTTAAACAAACAACAGTAAGTACTGCATGTAACATGAGATTGATGGCTGAAGAGAAAAAAAAAGTGTCTCCATGTCCTTTGAATTATCAAAAAAACATATTAGTAGAGATTAAAAGATCTGTCCTGCAGTTGATTAAAATTATTCTAGCTACCTTCTATTGTTACATATAGCCTACACTTCTCATCAGAAAATAGATACTCATGTAATATGGTCAATCTTTTATATATATGTAACCACCTCCCAAAAAGTCAGCTGTTTGAAAAAATAAATGAAAAGTACAATGTGCCAAGGTGGAATTGTAAATTGTAATTTTCATACAACTAGATCTTGAGGTTTGCCTAATTTTGCTAGTTTCACAAGTAAAAACCTACATATATCCAATTTAATTAAATGTCAAAAAAACCAGGAAAAGAGAATGGTCAAAAAGAGAGAGAGAGAGAGAGAGCCTGGTCTGATCTTCCATTAAAAAAAAAAAAGAAAAAAAAAAGAAGAAAAATCAAGACTTTCACCTAGCCAATGACTTAAAATCTTGTATGGTTTGCTAAAAGAGAAGAACGACTTACTAAGCTCTTGGATATCATTAGATCTCCTAACTTGAACTAAAAATTGGATTTCCTGGGACAGGAAAATAGGATTCACCAACCACAAAACAAACACTTAATTTTGATTGCCTTTTTTCTTTTTTTTTTTCCCTTTTTTTAATGAGAAACACTTAATTTTGGTTGCCAATTAACTTGATAATAGCACCCTTTTAAGTGAACTATAATACCAACATGAAGAAAAATTAACATTGTAAGCCTCTACATTAGTAAATGGCAAGTGAACTATCGAGCCTACAGTTAAACATTATAAAAATTTGATATAGATGCTGAGAGAGGGGCATAGAAAAACAATCAGAAGATAGCTTCAAGCTACAAGTTGGTGCCAAGAAGTAGAGACCACATGGTACAATAGAACATACACTAAAATGCAATTTTTATTAAGTTTTGTTTTAATCTTTGCAATTCATCAAGGAAACAATGATCCATCTAAAGACTAAAAATTCCATTTCAGCTTTACTACCGTGTGACTCTACATGCATGGAGGCACTGATATTTGTGTTTTCATGAGTATGTGAAAAATACTGGAATAATTCCACTTGCAGTAAATATCAAGAAGCCACCTTCAATGAAAATTACTAGAGAAAAACAGTCATAAAACATACTGGGAAGAGTTGCTGGTTGCTTTGTAACCACATCCTTCTGAACTTTCAAAACACTTTCCCTGTTAGATGGCTGCAAGCCAACCTGTATTATCAGAATAAAATCACGATGAGAAAACATTTATCCAAGGATGGAATTCATTTATAAAGTTCAAACTTCATGGACCACTTGATAGCTTTCAGTGATATTACAATGAGCCTTTAAGGCCCTAATCATAATAAGGTAATCACAAAGCTCACATTTCATTCTAACAAAATCTACAACTAAGCATCAAATTCTGAAAGAAAAAAACATGAATGTAGACAAGTTGATACCACCTGAGGAACCAACATTTTCAAACATAAACTACACCAAAATGAAAAACATTAAATACCTTCACTTGAATCACTCCCTTTCTCTATCATTTTTACCATTTGATCTATTGCATCGAATGATAACAATCAACTGATCAGTGTGTGTTTGTGTGTGTGTTTATTTTATTTTATTTTATGGAAACTGAACATGGTTATTTTTACTATTTGATCTAATGCATAGAATGAAAAAGACTAGATACCTTCCTTTCCTTCCTCCTTAGTATTTTCAAATGGCACTTTTTGATGTAATGCATCAAATGATATCGAGAATGTCTAGCGCATAAGTCTTCTTTGACTGTTGGATTCTCATTTAACCAATCAGATATATCTTTAGATTTCACCACTTCATCTGTGTCCAAAGACTCTAACCATGAATAAACTGGTATCCACTGATCAGTGCGTTGAAATCGAGCTGGATGATTGTCCACCTGACTAAATTCTTTTTCCGGCTGCAGGTGGAAAGTGGAAATCATTAATTCCTTCATGGTAACAACTAAGGAAGTGAAGTTTATGAATCAAATCAATGCAATGAACAACGAGGGAAAATGGAGCAGGGAAATTGAAGTTTATGAATCAGCACCTGAGAAGGCATTCTCATGTAATTTTGGATGGAGAGGAACTTATCGATGAGATCCGATCGAGGCATGGATTGGAGGCCGGCCGGTAGCGAGCTGTGGTTGGAGTCGATCCAGGCTTCGACTTGGCTCACGCTCACCGCTTTTGCTTCAGGGAAGGCGCAGAGCCAGGCTCGAGCCATAGTCTCCCATTCTTGAGACTGTTGGTCGTCCCGGCGCTGATCGGACGGTCTCCGTTCTCCGTCTAAGGCTTGCTCTACGGCGTTCAACATGAATTCAGCTTCGGTTGCCGCAAAATTACTCCATAGCGGCAGGGCAGGAATTAGAAACACGGTAGCTCTAGAACCATTGGATGGGCTAATAGTTTTCCCAATACGATTTTCGAAGCTCAAGAAAAGTGAAATAAGTGAACATTAGGATCTTATCAATTTTTTTATTATATCTAATTATATATTATATAAATTATATATTATATAAGAGGTAATCTTCTATTTCTAAATTCTTCTTATTCGAGTTATATTTAAAATTTAAAATTTTAAACTCTTAATTTTAGGTAACCCATTATCTTATTATGATTATATCAATATCATACTATTTCTTGGTTTTGGGATTAGTCGAAATTAATTTCTTTTAAAATGTCCTATCAAAAATTAGACTTATGACATGTTTGGTGCAACTCATGAGATGAACTTCTTGATTTCAAAAGCACAAACTACATTAAACATTATAATTAGTAAAAAATACTATAATTTTTCATAAGTTAATTTTTTTTTATTTAATTGCAAATCTTAGAAGCATCGAATTGTTGTTTATGTAGAAATTTCTCATTTAAGTTTTAATGAAATTAATACATTATTTATATTTTATTTTCATTTTTTTATTTATAAAAACAACATTTCTACATCAATTTTTTTCTAACAAAACTTTTAAATTAGCTACACCAAACGGGAACTTAAAATGGGTAAAGGTTAATTAAGAAAATATCAATACTATTTGAGGATAATATATATTAGTCTTAATTTTTAAAAAATATTAGAATCTTAATTCTTAAACTAACTTATTTTATTTAATAATTAAATTTCATTCCATAATTTCAACACTCATTCCTTCTTTGATGACAACAGTGACAACTTTTGCAACTCAACAATTCAGTCCTTTTACAGGCTCTTATTCTCAACCATTCTCTCTTTTGGTGATAATAGGAGAATAAGATCACTTTTTTCCAATAATATTTAAATAAAAAGCACTGACATATTTTGTATGATAGTGGAAAATTAGCACTTGTTTTTCTTAATTTGGTCCTTATAACAATCGGAGAGGAATGGAAAACTTGCAAAGGGTGAAAAAAAGAAGAAGTAAGAATATATCTCTAATTAAATAAAATGATATAATTTAAATGTTAATACTTTAATATTTTTTGAAAGTTAAAATTGACATATATACTTTTTTATATTATTTATTAAATTTTGCTCACAAACACATGATAGTAAATATAAAAAAAGTTTTTTATATAATTATTCTAATATTTTAAATATTAAAATTTTTTTATAAAATTATTTAAATAATTTTATTTAATATTTTTTATTAGTTGATTCATTATTAATATTTTAAATTTTTATTATCATTTTTCACATTTTAAAGATCTCTTGATTTTTCTCAATTTCTTAAATAAAATAAGGAATTAAAAAAAAAATCAAAACATACTAGTACTTAACTATTAGGAATGATAATAAAAAAATTAAAATATCATTAATAAACTAACACATAAAAAATTTATTAAGTGTATTTAAATAATTTTACATTAATCATAGTACCAAAATATTCTAATTTTTACTTTTCTCATAAAATAAAATATTATTTATCAAAAAAAAGAAAAATAAGGAGTTTAATAATAAGTATATAATAAATTTAATAAAATTAAAATCACCATATAATAAATTTAGTAAATATAAATTTTACACTATATACTACACATTTACACATTTACACATTTAATAGTTTGGACTGGGAGTTCTAATTTTCCTCTATCTCTTAATAACAATAAAATAGAAACCACCATTTTCCAATGCTAAAAGATAGCCGCTGGGACTTAGCTAAACGACATCGTTTTAACAACCATTCAGTTAAACCAACTCATCTCCTCTTTAGCGCGGCGGCTGCTCCTCCTGTTTCGGTGAAGGTGAAGCCCTAGCCTAGGCCCCAAAGCTTTGTTCGTGTAGGTGAGTGCAGGAATTTGTGGCTTCAATCTTAAAGATGAGTGCTTCTCTCTTACAAGGGATGTCTGAGACAGAAGAAAAACTGCCTGCAAAACTAGAAGCACCAAATGAAGCCGAATATGAAGAAGAGGAAGATCTTTCGTGGTCATCCGACTCTGAAATCGGTGAAGCGTTGGATTATTTGGATGCCAAGGACGATGATGAGGCTGTTGATGGTGCTTTTACTCTGAATTCCAGACGCCCCAATGCTCATGGAGGGCTACACTCGCGCCCTAATTCATCTGCCCTCCAGCCTCTCTCAAAGCGCAGCCAGAAGTTCGCCGGTCACATTAGAGCTTCCCCTTTAGAGGTTTTGCTTATTTGTTTATATATTTGATTAAAAAATTTTAGTTCTTGGACTTTTACTGAGTAGTTTTATAATGCAGGAGTGGGAAGGAAGGTTGAATGTTGGTATGTCAAATACAGTGACAACTGCTATTCGTGAAAGCGTTCGGGAGATGGCCATTGGAAAGATTAGAACTACTGAGAAAGCAGATCGTGCCACTGTTGAGCAGGTCAATTGGATTTATATATTTTTTCCATTAAGCAAGAAAATATTTATGATGTTGCAATGGTATTTCATTACCATTATGGTGCACCGTTGTTGTTATTAATTCCCTGATGCATCTTAAATCAATATAATGTTGGTGTTTATTATTGGATATATTGAGGGTCTATGCCTATTTAGATAATAACTTTTGATTATTTATTTGTGGGTTTTGTTGGATGTCCTTGTTCCTTGTCCAAACAGGGCAGTGGTTCCAATAATTAATCCACTTCATATTAATGCTGTTCTTTTCTTTAATTTTAATCATTGTTAGTTGATTACAGAGGTTTTGTTATTTTACAGTCTTTTAGGCACTTGTGTGTTTGTGAAGACGTAATCTTAAAGACATTGTTTGAAAATTCTAACATTATTAGTATTTTTTTTTCTGCAGGCTATTGATCCCAGAACTCGCATGGTACTATATAAAATGCTAAACCGTGGTGTGTTCAATGATATCAATGGATGCATTTCTACTGGAAAAGAAGTATGTAATTGCTTGCTGCCTTTAATATTGACAACTTCGAAGTTCTAGACAAAGTTTTGTGGTGTCTACAATCTGTTTCAATCTCAGCTAGTATGTAAAGCTGTATCTCAACTAATTTAGATTTTTCTTTCAACAGGCAAATGTATATCATGCCACAAAATCTGACAGTCAGGAACTGGCAATCAAAGTTTACAAGACTTCTGTTTTAGTCTTTAAGTAAGTCTGACAATGTAGGAATGTTTTGCTGTATAGTACTTAATGTATTTTCTCCTCACTCTGGAGTCAATACACCATGTCAACAGTCAATAATGAATTTGATAAAATGGTGGCAGGACATTGCTGTGGAAGTATGCAGCAAGGTTCATTGAAAAGATTGGGTTATAATCATGTAATTGCTTTTTAAGAAGTGGTTCACTAGTAGAGAGTAGATAACTAATTTTAAAGTTGACCAATTTTTCTTTTAATACTTCAGGGACCGAGATCAGTACGTTCAAGGGGATTATCGTTTCAGACATGGATACTGCAAGCACAATCCAAGGAAAATGGTAAAGACATGGGCTGAAAAAGAAATGAGGAATCTTCTGAGGTAAAAGTAAAAACAAGATTTAACCTTTGCAAAAATATTCTTATTTGCCTATTTTGCACTCTTTTGACTGGTATAAATTAGTGATTGATTTATAAATAAATTAGGACCAAATGTGATGTGGTTAATGGCTCTACCAGTTCTTGTACTCTTACACTTCATCCATTTTAGTTTGTAAACTCTTTGTTTGCTCATTTTCATTTCAACTTTTAAGCATAGGCACAAACAACTTTCACCTGATTTCTCAGGTGCATTAGTTTATCCACTTCTGTGATCTGTCCTTGTTATTCTTTTTTTCTTTTAGCAACTTTCTATTTCTCTATTGTTCTTTAGTTCTATTTCCCTGTTCCAATACCATCTATAATGATTGTATTTATTGGATACTTGTCAAAAAAACTGCCCTTTTGCATCCCAATCTCCTTTCTAAGTTCTCTTTGTCAAATTCTACACAAAGTTCAAACACAATTTAGCCCTTTCAGTCATCTTGACTTCTTCGCATGCATGCCAATAATTAAGATATCAGTCAAATTATACTTTGCTAAGCACAGTTTAATTGGTAATCTGTTTGAATCAATGTTAGTTCTTACCTTTACTTGACCCCTCTCCATGGTCTATGCTAGTTTCTGATTTTGCTTTAGATTGTTGCTGTTCTTGCATGTTGGCTAATCTATGCCAAGGATCTTTGCCTTGGCCGAGAGTCAGCAATGGTGGATGGTGGTCACTAGTGGGAAGGCAAAATTTTGCTATGATAGCATATCAATAGCAGCCATTCAAATAAATATATGAATATATTTAATAAATAGAACAACTGGCTTTTTTTATGGAATAAAATAACAGCTTTATGGGAAAAAATGCATAAGATGACCTAATAACTTATAAAAATAAACAAAAACTACACAATTAGTAATCTCAAGCAAATAAAAGAAAATAAAGCCCTTACATGCACTGTAAGCATAAGAGAGAGGAAAATCAGAATAGGGAAAACAGAGCACTAAGCATCTGGTGCTCTTTTTGTCCTGAACGCCAAGTTATGCCGAATGAAAAGATAGTTTAGCTGAACCATATTCTAGCTACCATCAAAACAAGTATCCTGATGTAGACAATTCAAAGGTACATAATGTAAGTGGAACATTGTCTAAATACAAAGTGCTTTAATATTTTTGGCTTGTTTTAGGAGAATGCAAACATACTCGAGAAGGTCAGCAAGAGGCGGGTTGATTGGCCATGCAGGCCCTTTGATCCTCAGTAACGCCTTCCAGTCAAATAGAAAACCTAACTTCAAAAAAGTTACTCCTTGGAAGGCCTTGGTTGCATGAGGCAAGATCCTCCACATACCATCAATGTTTGAAGTTTCTGTTCTGAGTTTCTCTCTTGTTAAGGGCTCTGCCAAAGTTCAACCGGCATTGACTGCAGATTTCGAGGACATGAGCTTCGGGCCATATGTAGAAGTAGGAGGTCAGTTCATGCCATTAGAGAATATGGGGGTGGCTCCTTCCACCCATGTTTCAGTCCTACATATCAATACTCCTTAGTCTCACCCATCATACTGTTATCACCAGAATAAAGAAAATGCAAAGGTGCTTGCCTTGTGTCTTAAGCTTAGCAGGAAAATATCTAAACTGTGGGCAGATGGGTATCAACCCAGCAGGGAAGCATGGAAAATTATGCTCCAACTAGGGTACCAGCCTAGGAAAGTTTACCAAGCGTAGAGGAAGGTTGCATCATGCAAGAAGCTATGGGATCTCACAAATAATGGGCATCTTCTGCTTTTATTGTTTTATATGATTTGAAAAAAAGTTAAAAGCTATATTTGGTTTAATCATGAAGTTGTGCAATATCATTAGTGCACTTGATGGAACAATCAAAATGAACATGTATTCAGGAGTTCAAGGTTTGTGTAACTTGTGTTGACAGCAATAGTTCTTTAAAGACTAAACTGAACAAAGTGAAAGAGTGCAAGGATTAACCATGCCATTTACCCAAGAAATTATAAGCACATCTCTATTTGTCAATCAAAAACCCTTTAGCTAGCTATCAGGTTGAGAAATGTAAAATTTTCTAGTTTTATGTTCCAAGATCAATTGGAGAAATATCTTGACTTTATGCTATGAATGAGTTTTGGAATTTATTGTGGTTGCATGGTCTATGATATATTTTCAATTTCAGGCTTAAGGCTGCAGGAATTAGGTGCCCAACACCGTTACTTCTGAGACTTCATGTTCTGGTCATGGAATTCATTGGTATGATACATGGCATTGTGGCTTTTTTCCTTATCCATTGTTACTTAAAAGTTTAGGTTTCTAAGAAATATAATCAGTTGGTTGGAATTTAGCCTTCTAGGAATTCAATGTCAATGTTTCACAATTTCTTGACAACATAAAGCATTGAGTTAGCATCTTCCCTTAAGAAGGAAAAGCTAAAGATGCAAATAATTTGGTGCATGTGGACTCTTTCCTTGATTATACTTGTGCATCATCTTGATGTGTGTTTAACTTATGCAAAACAGTATACATGTATAGTTTTTATGTCTTAGTATTAATACTGATTATCTAAAGGTTTTCTTACTCATATTTTGTGTCACAGGAAAAGCAGGGTGGGCAGCACCTCGTCTCAAGGATGCTGCCTTATCTTTAGATAAGTTACGTGAAGGTTATCTAGAGGTTTGTTTATATACTTAACTACTTTTTTTCTCTGGCCTCCACATATTACGCAACTTCAAATGCTCCATTATCAAATTATTTTTGAGGTGCAGAAATTGTTTTTATGTTTGCCTTTTGTATTCCTTTTGTCATTCTATCAACCATTTTACACATGCTAGCAATAAGTTATGGTATTCTTTTCACAGATGATACTTGCAATGAGGACATTATACCAAAAGTGCAAACTAGTGCATGGGGATCTCAGTGAATATAACATTCTTTATTTTGAGGTGACAATTGCCCCTTTTAATCTGTTGTTGAATTGAATCTAGATCTTGCTCTTGTTTTTTCGCATTCCAAAAAGAGTGCTGTTTTACAGTCCAAACTGTGCTAGACTGTAAAATAGAGACCCTTGGATGGGAGGAGGCCCCCATTATCAGGGGGACCGCCCCTCATCTAAGGGTCCATGTTTTGCAGACTGCAAAACAGTTTTTTCCTTCCCAAAAATGAAAATAAAACAGTTTGTTGCTCATAGAAATTGTACTTATAGATCTATGTTCTTGCTTCTTTTGGTAGGGCCACCTGTATATCATTGATGTCTCTCAGGCAGTTGATCTTGACCATCCACATGCCTTGGATTTCTTAAAAGAAGATTGCAAGCATGTTTCTGTAAGTTTTTTATTGTTGATAGTTTACTCTCTTTTTCAATAATATGGCCATGGCTTCAGTAATGTTTTCTTCTTCCATCTTTGATTGCAGGTTTTCTTTAAGAAACATGGAGTAGCTGTTATGACTGTACGGGAGTTATTTGACTTCATAGTTGATCCAACTATTGGTGATGACTCCATAGACAGTTATTTGGAAGAGGTTCAAGTTACATTTGTGCTTCCGATATTCCTTATAAATCTAGAAAGATCTTATTGTCACACTCCTAGATATATAATTTTCAGGTTCAAGAAAATATTGTGGCAAGAGGAAATATCTCTGTGGAGGATGAAATTGCCGATTCTGTGTTTGTGCAGGTTAGTTGAATAATAACAGATAACCCATGTCTCTTTCTCTTGGACCAACTGCTATAAATTTCTCTGACAGATTTTTGTTGCCAACTTTATAATTTGGCTAGCTTTGATTGGAACCTGTTTTGGTTTGAAAAGCAAAAGCTCTACTTATGACTAGATAGACTAATATTTGACCACCATACCACATTCTTTAAGATTTGAAACATTTGTAAAGAAAAAGTTGTTGAAGTTTTGAGTGGTCTGAATCTCTTAAGTGGACTGATGCTTGTAATGGTGTAACCATAAAAAATTTTGTTTCTTTCGCTGCAGTCATACATTCCAAAGACTCTGGGTGAAGTGAAGAATGTTGAGGAGGATGTAATACGGATAACAAGTGGCAAGGACACTGAAGACATGTATTATAAGACTATTACAGGATTAAAGGAGGCTCTTTCTAAAGTAAAATCTTTGCCAGGGCAAGAACAGCTACACTCACAGGATGCTATCATGAATCATGCAGAAGTGTCCCCCATCCATCAAGATGTTTATTCTAATTCTCATGAGTCTGAGTCTGTGTCTGAGGCTGAATGTGTATCTGATTCTGATTCTGGTTCTGAATCAGAGTCTGATTCTCAAACAGATGAGAATGGTGAGAACTTTAGTGACAGAAAAAGGAAGGGTTCCTCATCGGAATCAATGGTGCAGGCTACCATAGATAAGCGAGCTGCCAGAAAAGAGAACAAAAAGAAAGTGAAAGAAGAGAAGAGGGAAGCTCGGAAAACTAAAATGCCCAAAGCTGTGAAGAAGAAAGCTGTGCAGAAGGGAAAAAAGAAACTGGCAAGATCCCACAAGACCAGGTAGTTTGCTGTAAGCTTCAACGTGGGAGGCTCGAAGGTCTTGGGAAATCAGGCTGTAGAAGTCATCTAACTCTATCTGGAATCAAAAACAATTTTGCTGCTGCCACCCTTATTTAAGAGGAAGGGAGGAAAAATTTTGGTACAGGGGAGCCTTTTCAATTTGGCGATTTTTAAAGGCTTCAATGAATTTAATTACAATAGACCCCTAAGTTATTAATCCGTCTTGCGTAATTTTGTTTTCTTAATTCCGTTTCCCAAGTTGTGTATTGGATAACGACGACTCAAAGGATTTTAAATGAATGATAGATTCAATTATAAATTTGATAAATAAAAACTTCTTCTCAGTTTTTAATAATCATTTATAATGCTGTTATTTCTGGTTGTAAGTTTATTAAATTTATATTGTCAACTACTTAAATAGTTTAATGGTAATTTTTTTCTGTTGAAAATAAGATATCCTAAGTTTAAATCGCATGGCATAGCATATAAGTGAGGTGAAATAAGAGATGAAAGATTATTATTTTTCGTTTTGTAATTAACCAAAAAAAAAGAAAAACCTGTTTTAGTAAGACATGGGATTCAGGGTCTTGAATATTGTCACCCCATAAAGTATTAAGTCCACTAATTTTTAAATTATTTTTAAAATAGTATTCAAAAATATTATTTTATTAATTAATTTTAAAATATTAATTAGTTTATCCATTATTAATTAATTATTATAATTGTTAATTATTTTTATGAGATTAGTGTGCATCTCTAAAAAAATTAAAATCTCAAACTTATATGAAGAAAAAAATATTTAATCTAAAATTTAAAAATTTAATTAATTTTTAAATTTAAATATTAGTATCTAATAAGATAATTTTTTATTTTAAATTAAGTTTTAATAAAATAAAATAAAATAATTTAATATTAAAAATCTAACTTTTTATAAAGAATTAAAATTGATATGTATTTTTTTTATTTTTATTGATTAAATTAAATAAAATTAATATTTTTTAAAAATAATAATTTATAAATTTTAATAACCTTAATACTTTGGATGACACCAATAACCTTAACCCCACATGGGACGTCCTAAACTTAAGAGTTGATTATCTATATTATAGTTATGGTGAGATTTAAAAAATAAAAAAGACTACTTTTGGTTGCATACCGTCATCAAAATTACAAAAATAAATAAAAAAATTTTGACAATTGCCAGAATACGCTGGTTTTTATCAAGAAAGAAACAAGAGACGTTCAATTAGAGGATGTACAATGGTTTTTTTTTTTTTTAGAGAAAAAATAATAACAGAGATACACCTCTACCCAGTAAAGTTTTAAAATCGAGTTGGGGAGAACAAGCTCGGTTACAATTGTTTAAGAGCAGACAGTGCTCTAGTGGTCTGCAGCGCCTGACTTCTTGTTGGGCATTTCTTCATTTCTTTCATCAAATGGTTTACATTTTTCATAGAATTGTTTAAGCCTTTGAATCAAAGGTTTTCTTTTTTCTTTTTCTTTTTCTTTCTTTTCTTTAAATGTAAATTTATTTATTTAAATATATAAAATATTAATTAAACAAAATAATATGGTGTAACTTTCAAAGAAATTTTATACATTGAACAGAAGGGCGTTCTATGATTTTACATAAATAATATTAATTATGATCATGTGATATTAAGTAAGTTTTTTTTATTGTTTTCATTATACATGCTCTTATTAATTGAAATCAAATCACTAGCGTTGCCAAACAGGTCGAGTTGGGTGGAATCACAGGGTAAACCTCGGGTTTTGGCTTTCTCAATTAAGAGTTTTGAGTTAAAGGGGATACAGCCCTGACTTATTCATGCAAGCCTTAAATTGAGTTAGATAGTCAAATATTTTAAAAATTAAAATTAAAATTAAATTTTTTAATGTTTTTTATTTTTTTAAGAAAAAAATTTAATATTAATTACAAGTAATTGTTTAGTAAAAAATCTATTAAACTAATATTAACTTTAATAATTTACTCTGTAATAGATAATAATTATTTTATATTTTTAATTTTTACAAATTAAAAATATATTAAAAAAATACATATTAGTTTTGGCTAAAAAAAATAGAATTCTAACATTAAATTATGTTGTTTTAATTAATTAAAATTTAATTTAAAATTTAAAAATTTATTTTATTAAATATTATATTTAGATTTAGAAACATATTAAAATTTTAAATTTTGAATTTAGATTTCAGTTTTTAAATATAAATTAAAAATCTAATTTGTTTTAAATCGAGGCTAATACACACTAATCTCAAATATATTTAATCAAAATTTAAAAATTTAAAAATTAATTAATTTTTATTAGATCACCTCACATTGAGGTAATCTAATTTTGACTTAGACAAATCTAAACAATTTTTGTTTGAACTAAATCAAATTTTAGATGAATATCTTAGACCACACATACGATAAATTGGCCAGAACCTTGCTTTGGGTCTAATTTTACAAAATCTACGTCCTACTACCAACACTACCGCTACCCTGTTCATAAGAGAAGCATATGATTCGGCAAAATCAAGGGCAAATCAAGGCCCAAAAAGAAAACAGAGACGAGAAGTAGAAAGAGTGGAGGAGAGGATAGATTTTAGGGAGCCCTATCAAAAGAGAGAAATCCAAATAAAGAAGAAACTTACAACTCTATATCTTTCCATGGGATATAGAGCGCAGCATACCATCAATCTGTTGGTTTGAGTAAAAAGAATTTAATTTCTCTCAAATAAAATATCAAGTTTAAGTATTGTAAATAGAGAAATAAGTGTTAAGAGAGTTTTCTCTTAATGGGGTCTAATATGAGTTGATTCTAGATTAATCAAGAGTCAATATGATTATTGAATACTGAGAGTTTAGTACCGACAAGAAAATACAAAGGGCAACGTGTCAGGAGCATTAGCAAACTAATCTTAGTTCTAATTTTTTTTAAATTTTATACAAGCCAATTGTTAGGTGACATCCCACATGCCTAATTGTATGGAGTTCCATCCAAACAATCGACGGGATTAAATTTAGACACAGTATTCATTGACTATTTCTTTCTTTATTATATTTATCTGTTCATATATAACTTAATTTTGCATATAATTATTTTTGGAAAAAAGGTATTTTTCTGGCTACTTGAGAGTTATTCAACTTGAGTAATGAGAGTCAACATGTTTGAAGATTTTATTAAAATTAAATAGATTATATCTGTACTTTTATATTATGACATTATAACATAAAAATAAACATAATATATTAATAATAGATTTAAATTATACTCATATTAAATTGAATAATTAAATAAGAAGCATCATCTGTGACTAAATATTGCATGTGTAATCACTTCATGGACATAAACAAGGCTATTGTTATAGGCAGGACATCACTATGAGCGTAATGAGCTATTGATCTCAACACCTATTTAAGCATTTACTCCCCAACCCACCAAATGTCAACCCATTAAGTACATATCAACCTCCAATACGGTCATGGCGTTTGCTCATACTAGCTAGAGCCACCTAAGCTATCCATTAGCACCTTAGATGCCCTCTCATCTTTCTCTTATCACGACCACTCTTTTTCCTACTTGATGAAGCCTCCGGTACACGCTCAGTTTGTTAATTTTCATTTTCCTCTGCTTGTTGCCACGCCTTTTCTCTTTCTTTCCCAATCCTTTAATCGTCAAACTCCTGGGATAATGGAACCCCCACTAGATGATCATTAGATACGGGAACTAAGGCTCCAGGAGGGTGTTGCCCAACTTCCTCTCTAATACCAGCCTCTTTACTAACCCCACCTACTTGGCTCTCTTGATTAATTAAGGTCCATATCGAGATATTATGTTCCCTATTCGGATTATGTAGATCCTTAGGACCTGAATTCACTTCAACACTTTCATCCTTGTCCTCAACTAAGAGACGAGCACTAGTAGTGAAAGATTCATCAAGCTCATCAGGATTATCAGGACAAATGAAAATAAATGATAATTAAAAAAACTTTGTTATGAGGTAGAACCACTCTTTGTATATACTCTATGTGATACTCTTTCTTTTTTTTTTTTTTATCAGCAAAGAGAATTTTATTGATAAGGTACAAGAGGTACCTCAACTCATTTACAATACTAATACCAAAAAAAGTAAGAGGGGCAATCTAAGATTTAGGATGTCATAAGGCCATACTCTAGCTCCTGCAAAGAGCAGGTTCCTTTCTATGCAACAAAACGAAAGAGAGATTTACTATGCGTATATTCTGTAGGTTTCCTTAGGAAGACTATACCAAAGTGATTGGGATAAATCGGCCATCCTTTTTGCTTTAATCCATGCAAAGGAACTAAACTTAATTTGATCAAAAACATGTTCAGTATTTATAGCCTTCCCTTTGAAAATTAGTGAATTTTAGCATAACCAAATAAACCACACGGTGAAAAACCAAATGGACATCCAAATCTATTTATATTTCTGTTATTTACCAATCCCTTGTGTTGCTTTAGGTGATTCCATCTGCCTTCTTGTTTGCTGTCTGGATGTCTCACCAATTGTCGCACAGGCACCATATTTTCCATGAGATTGGACATGAGAAGAAGATGTGTATTGAAGTTTCGGTCTTCTCTCCACATAGGATGCATTTTGCTCTTGTATTCTCTTCAGTCAATCCTTTTTTCATCAGGTTATCTTTGGTCGTGATCCTATTTTGTAGGGCTTTCCATGCAAAAGCAAAGATCTTCAAAGGCAATTTGTTGTCCCATATGAGCCTGTATTGAGCATCCTATCTACTCTCTTGGTTTTGGTTTATGATGTCATAAGTTGATCTCACTGTGTATCTGCCTTTTGAGTTGTGTTTCCATATCCAATTATCGTCTTCACCTTGTATTAGTTTTATTCCTTCAAGCATCGAGCAAAGTTCCTGCAGCAAGTTAATTTCCCATACAAATAGGTTCCTTCTCCATCTCCAAGTCCACATCCATTCCCCATTATTCCACTGCCCCATGTCTGCAATACAAGCATCTTTCTCTATAGACAAGCTGAATAACCTATTGAACTTCTCCTTTAATGGCTTATCCCCTACCCATTTCTCATGCCAAAACAACGTGTCTTTTCCTTCACCTATCTTTTTAACTACCCCTTTCTTAAACCAACCCTCTTTCACTCCCATTGCACTATCTAACTCCCATAAATTCCTCCACCATGTCGAGCATGATCCCTCCCATTTACTGCCTTCCCACGCCTTCCTTCTATCCATTCTATATTTAACTTCCAAAATCTGCTTCCATAATGCCTATTTTTGTTGTAATAATCTCCATCTCCCTAATAGTGCTAT